CTTGGCCTGTGCACGAGTCAAAACCAGAATACGCATCCTTGTCATGCTTGCGCATATATAACCCACGTTCAGAATCTCAGGTTGCAACTCCCTTGCTCCCGAGCTGCAAGACAGGTCGATCTCGCAGTCGTCAAGGGTTTCCAAAAGAGCCTTTTCCGTGTGGAGCCAATGGTTGAACTCGTCCTGCAGCCCAGCGCCATTGCACAGTACTATGTTGGATGAAGGCTTGGTGTCTTAGGCGGTCAGAAATCATCGTAATCCCTTCCCCGGCTCTCCAACGACGACCCTGGGCTCCTGGGCCAGCAGGTTAAAACCTGTCTAGAACGAAAGTGCTTCAACTTGCGGTCCGACATGAAGGGTAGGCTTGTCGAAAAACATATGCGTAAGCGCAAGCTTCAAGTCGCAGAGCTTTTCGTGGCGACTGTGACTAAGCATCACGTGGCCAAAGTCCTTCGTGACAACGATGTTCCTCTCCATCATGTCAGCCCGGATCTTGGAAGTGAGCTCGTCGTACTCGCTTGCGCTATGCGGCTTGTAACCATACCTGCCACTTTCTGCCACCAAACGGAACAAGCACTATTGTGCGACCATCGCACATGAGCCATCCACTCTCGCATCTAGAGAAAATAGATTGCATTCAGGGGCACATCTCTTTCAGACCCAGCATCTTCCTTAGTGACAGAGCATGGGCTGCACCCATAGCCCACTCACTGCGTGCAAGGCTGCTGCAAGAAATCCCTGGATTCAACCCGACGCCTGTCCTGCAAAGCCGTGAGACTTCAGTCACCGCGAGGCCCTCGTGTGGTCAAGGCTCTCCCTTAAAATCTTGGACACTCGCCGAGGGCGCCCTTTCCTCTCCATCTCAGCTGCCTGTCCACAAGACAAAAAATCTTCGTAATCACGCGTGTAGGAGCGAACTTCTTGATGTCGGGCCTCGCTCTCAGCCTCTTTTCGCAAAATGCTCGTCAATATCAGGTGTCCTTATGCACAGCACGCGGCATGCAGACATCTGAGAGGTTCAGGGTCGGGTACAGCTAGCGCCTGGGAGTCTTACCGCGCACACACGCATACACAACATCAGGGAATCATGGCAACCTCTACTGACTTCTGGATGGGCAATAGGTAGACAGATGAGCTATACTATTCTTATGCCACGCTTTCTGTCGCTTTATAATGATAGCGTACCTACAGACACTAGGTGTAGAGAGGTATACATGTTTGGCGTAAGCACTCATGAATAGACATACGTACCATGCAAGGCGATGGCGCATGAGGGCCCCGCAAGGTTCCGCACCACGGTCCAAGCGAAAACCACTCAGTGGTATGGTACTGCTTGCGTCCAGATCCCCAGATCCCACGGTCAGCATGTCCAACCGTACAGATGCTGACACAGATAATGCATCATCTACAGCACTACCGATCGCAGATTGGACGGTTGCCAGTTACTGGTATATGCTCTTCTGCATCCGGCGGAAACTGCTGTGAATTCCTAAAGGCTTCCGCATTGCCTCATGCAACCATAGTACAGTGCTACCGCCGTCCTTATCCTGTGACAACGCCGTATCTGTATCGGCATCCCAAGCCTCACACACAAAACCGATAAATGTACAGCGAGTGCAGAAATAGACAGAGGTTATTTGCATCCATGCCTGATCCATGCTTACCTCTCTATCTATGCATGACATGTACTCTTATAAACGCAGGATCTAGAGCGAGCCTGCGAGCATTTGCATGTCTGGGTGCTTCAGCGCCCGCTCAAAGCCACAAAGGCTATATGTGCAGACATGCATGCACCCATACCTGCATGAACACAAGCACTTTAGATTCAAATACATCCATACATGCAGAGATACAACCTCACACAGAGACTGCAGATTGAGAGAAAGACACCAACAGTACGAATCCCGGCACTCGCCAGAACATATAAAAATCCGCACACATGCACAAAACCGGATCAGACTAATCTACCCTCAACCCCAGTTCGGGGCGACTGTGGATGCAGAACAGACAAGCGATTTTTTGCATGCTTCCTGCATGTAGAAACTTTAGCATCGATTCGTGCCTACTCTGAAACCACAGCATAAGGCCTCTGACGAAAACACTTCTAAGGAAGCTCGGATCCTGGCCACAGGCCAAAGACACTAGTTCTCGTGAGGACAAGTCACTCAACGCATCGGAGATGATAAATGCCGTCTTCGGGGCATTCTGTCCCAGCTCCCGTTGTCTCTTCCTGACTAGAGAAGCACTCGGTAGCACGGTCGTGGTGGCCGCAGGCCATGGTGGCCCTGCCGTCTCTTGGGCTTTGGAGGGCCCAATCTCGAGGACTCATGTGCTATTTGTTGCTATGGTTCAGCAAAGCTAACGGGGTTAAGCGATCTCTCGGAATGCCTTGGACTTGAGACTTGCCCACGAGTTCCACCCGAGGGGCTTGGTACTGCCATCGGTAACGTTGTCGATGAACACTGCCTTGCACGGGCATAGACACATGCAGCCGGCAAGCCCGCCGATCCAGCGTGCGCACATGAATAGCTTCTTATGGGGCACGTGGGTATACGAGAGTCGCTGCGTGCAGAGTAGCACAAACAGCCGTCGAAGTGGCGGTATTGGTGCTGCTTGTCGCAGCCACTGTTGCAACGGCTGTTTTGTAGTCGTCATGGTAACAATGGTTCCTGCTTGTGGTGGTGGCAGTAGTGTTAGATTCTGCACCGAAGCACAGACTCGTCATCCGCAGTTGCAATTTGCTGAACCGGCGATGGTGCGAGGAATGATTGGCACGACTGGGAGCACCGAGTACGAGTAAGACACACGGTCGTCGAAGTCGCCGGAGAAGGGATACGATGCTGCGGGGATGCACGAATGAGAGCTCGACCCGGTGTCGATACCGTTACAAATTGACCCTTCATCCAGATGTTCAGGCAAGCAGCCATTATCAGATTGAAAATGCCAATGGTGACGAAAAGGAACAGCAGAATGTATGCGATCATGAAGGGCCCACCAAACTCCTGCATGAAGCGAGCAACTCTCAGGCTGCTTGTACCGGGAGGGTTGCTTAGTTCATCACACTGCCGAAGCGCAAACTCGGTTAATATTTCACAGGTCTTAGACTCCAAGCTCACACTCGCACTGGTCACTGATTCATCCTGTTCGAGCTTCCACTGCAGCGGAGTGCCATCGAAAGCCACACATCCATCGGTGAAACAACGGAAGTTGGTGAGCATGGCGATCGGAACCTCAGAAGGCACTTGCGTTGCTCGAAACCGAGTTGTGGCACTTAGCAGGATCCAAAAGGCACATCTGTAGTCTGAAAGTGTCCAAGCTCCCTTCAGGGCCCACGCGCACACCACACCCATCCATGGCAGATTCACCAGCAAAGATTCTCAGAACAACTAACATTACATGACAGGCGGCTGTTGAAAACTCGGCGTAGTCAGAGAATATGGTCCTAGTCACCACCCCGAGCAAGTACATACATCCCACCAGCAGCACGACCGCCCAGAAGAGCACACGCAGTCCAGTGAAGACACCTTGAATCATGAGCTTCAATTCCTGGAAGATCTTGAACTTTAGCAAGCGCACAATGCGCCCTAAACGAGCCAGCTTCAGCATTTTCAAAGAACTGAGAGCACCAGTGTCATTCTCCTCGCCTTTGGCCGCCGCCGATAAGTTCAAGGACAAGTCCACGATTGCTAGTATGACGCAGATGACGTCGAACCAACTCCAGTACCAGTCTGCCCCCCATATATATTCGATGAAGCCGAAAACCCGGATTTTCACCACAATCTCGCCTACGAAGAACAAGGTGAAGGCCATCTCTAAGGCGACCCAAATGCCATGCTCAGGCGAGATGTCTTGGCTGAACCCTGCGACAACCGCGCTTATCAAGATAACGATGGACGGGACGACGTCGAGCATCAGCAGGAAGGTTGCCTAAGTCTGCAGATGCCGTGCAGACGGCTTGAGTCACTGCTGTGTTGCCCCACAAAATGCAAAAACTAGCTTTCATAAAAACCACCACGAATCACCATGAAGTATAAACCACTTGTTACCCGTATAGACCTTGTTCTATGGATCCTATACCCGAAACGGCAGTAACAAGCAGGCTGCATCATCCTCCGTCTCCTCGTCAGAGTCGTTAGTCCTGAATGAGTTTCGCAAGAAGCTGCTGCGCCGGGATGCCCTAGATTTCAATGACCTCATGTCGGTCATCTTCGGAGGGCTGGAAGCAGGCGGTCGGGGCGTTTCTGGCAGCGACGGCGCGTCGTCGCCATTGCAGCTTGGGGAGTCTTCGTTCGCGTCACCCTTAGTATTAGCACCGTCGCCGGGAGGGTCAGGGGGATCGCCTTCCAAGACTTGTCGGCTCAGCTTCTCACTGTCACACAAAGCCCCTGGAAGCTGCACTGTGCTTTCCTGGAGATTTAGAGTGGACACCGTCGCCATGGGTGGCAACGGAGGCATGGAGCCACTTTGAGTGAGCTGCCGGAGAGGATCTCCGAACTCTGCGGCGGGAGGTGCCTGTACCAGCTGCTTGCGGAGCTGGGCATTCTCCAAGATCACCTGCTCATATACTGCATTTAGTGCCTCAAGGTGCCGCTGGAAGGAATCCTCCATGGCACCTAAAAGGCCGGGTGGCCGGCCCCGGCTTCGAAGGAATCGCTGACACAGAAACCCGTCTGAGCCACAGGAGCGCACAAAGAAAGAGATCCCTGTTCCTGCTTTCCTCCGTGGACGCGGCAGCAGGCTCACAAGATTTCATTTTGCAGTCTATATTCTACACTCCTAAGCTCTGTGGGAACAGTCAGGGTGTTGATGTTGAAATTGAAGCTGCAATCAGGTAGGCCAAGCCGTCCGAGCCCCGCTCATACTGGCAATTTGGGGAGACCCGCCTTTAGCTACGAGAACCACATGACGACCAGTGGCAACGTTCCACTCGTCAGCATCGGGATGGGATAAGGACCCCCCGCCCCGCGATATCTGTGCTCCTTAGACTTTAGCCTTGGTGCTCCCACTTCGCGCAGCTGCCACAAGCGGAAATCGCAGCATTGCAAGCAGCTGTGGCTGGCTTTGCTTTCGTGGCTGGCCTGAGGACATGCAGCGTGAAGCGCTCACGGCCAACCGACATGCTGTGCACTGCAGCACACGACTTGTTAGTCGTCACAACGACAACCAGTTGAACCGCAAGCGGCGAAGCTGCAAGCAGAATCGCGGCTTGCCACTTGTCGCCTCGGAAACATACCAATGTTGGCAATAGTTCTTGACATGCTATGTGATCACACAAGAAAGAATACATCGGCGTAGCTATCGAAACGGTGCACATGTATGCTGCGAGGCATTTGTGGCATGACTCGAACAGCAGAGTGCAGTTCCTCCTCGCCATGCATGGATGATGTTATGCAAACCTCCGTCGAGACCCATCGAAACTGTGTCAGCTTGCTTGTCTCTGCCTTCTCAAAACCGAAAGCAAACACATGGTGCCAAGACCGTGAACCAATTAGAGGGTCAACAAACCTGCCTGCAGCACAGGCAGTGACAGCTGCAGTGAGGGAGACGACGCTTGGCTGCAAGCCCGACTCCTGCACACTGATCGCGACGTGATGCAGTGATACGAAATGTAAGGTAAGGGTTGTTGGGAAGCCTCTCGTTCCATGTCTGCCATTTCGTTGTCTCTTTCGCTCGCACACAAGGAATCCTTGCGCTTCGCCCCTTGCTGTCTTGCTGGGCTGCTTGCACACTCGAGGCTTTCTCAGGAGGTGGGATTGTCACTTCATAGATTCATATAGTTAAGCATCCCCAACAACAGGCTTCCGCAAAGATTGCGCTCGCCCTCATGTAATCTTGCGCGCGCTCGAACGGTGTAAACGCGTTTAAACGACCGAGTTCTCACTAATCCCCGCCCATAGCTCTGTCACACGACCTCGCCAGAAATGAACAACCCTCATGTCCAAGTAATCCCGTCGGGCAGCATCCGCGTAGAACGCACCTACACTCACACTGCATGTACGTTTGTTACACACCTCCGTTTCTGCAGGTGCTGACTGGTTGAGATGTCGAATGCCTGCTGAGGGCGGTATGGCCCAAACCGCCAAGTAACACATGCAAAACAGCCTTCAAGCTGCTCCTTCTGCAGCATTCGAAAGATGTGTAGGGCCTTCTGCCACTCTTCACCCCGGACGCAAGCGCCTTCGAGATGGGACGGAAGCTTGCCGAACAAGGCCCAGCAAAGCCTAGCGTAACTGCGACGAAGCAGTCTGTTTTGGGTCTGAGCTCGCCCAAAGACAAATCCTGTGAACCTACTTCTGTGTTAGCTGCGGGACCCACGGCATCTTAAAAGAGCGTTCTGAAGCCACTGCGGCCACGGGGGCTGAGGCAGGAGTTGTAGGTGATGGTGTTAGCCTCACAGGCATGCGTTCTACCGGCACAAAAGTTCTGAAAACCGGCATCAGCGACCCAACGTCCTCGTTCCAGCTTGTTGAATGAAACACTGCCCGCAGCTGCCCGCACTGCCCACGAGCCATGAACGGATGGTTTCTGGCGACAGCAAGTGCCTAGTGACTCTACAGTAGTGTACAATGATTAAACGATGTGGACAGCATCAGTCCCTCCACCTCATGTTGACCAAGTTGCTTCTACCGCGCTGCGGATCATATCATCGAACACACACATGGCCAGCTGCCACTGTGCACCTGCTGCAACAGCATCATCGGTCCACGTCTGCAGGTGCCGGAGTCTGCTGGCAAGCGAAACAGCAGAATGCAGACCAAACCTTCACGACAGTCTGTCTCAGAGTCCCATAAGTATTCAAAGGTTCTACAACAGGCACTGGTAGCGCTCGCATCAATCAGGCCGACCAACCTTTCTCGAGGCTGCTGATCAAAGCGTTGTGGGACACCACCTTCGTTCAAGTTCTCAGATCTCAAACTATTGCCTAAAAATTCCACGTGACTACCCGTCACGCCACAAGATGAGCCCCCCCATGCCCGCATTTGCATCACTGCCTCTCTCTTTGCGTGCCTCTAATTCCGGATAACTCTGTGGTTGCTTTTTTTTCTGGTCTGCGGATTTCTGTTTGGATTGCTGGTTTCTCACGTCATGTTACGCTTATTTGTGCTTTTGAAACTCGTTCTTTGCTGTCTGTGCTTCGCTCTCTTCATGTATACTCCACCTCGGTGCGGCAATGACACCGTTCACTTCTGGAACTTGGCACCTCAACCCTAGCTAGCTGGAGAAGCCCCTCGCGGTGAGAATAGTTTGGAGCAGAAATAAGTCCAGGCCATCGGAGAAATGAACTCCTTCCGCGCCGCCCAGCAAAAGCGGATCTCGTTTACAGATCTCACCGAGACACTATGTTACCTCTGAAGATTGCCCAGATTAGTATGTGACACGTGCAAGAACGAACGATCGAAAGGATAAAAGCGTCATCCAACTGAAATAAACATGTCTGAAGCGAAGACAGCTCTTGTTCGGGCTTTGCCATTTCTCGGTGGTACGGGCTTGAATCTTGGCTCAGCCGCATGGGGGCGGACTCCGACGAGCCAACTCCGCTGGTCTCACTCAGAAGACTAAATCACGACCCCGGGCAAGACAGTAAGACATAGCAAGACTAGGCGGCTAGGCTCGAGGCGGCTAGGGTGCTAACTCGTAAAGCTCACACAAGTCACAACTACTTCAAATCAGCAGGGTTCGACGGTTTCACACCTCCATTTCCGTTTGCCAGCGGCAAAGGGAGGATGATACTTGCAGAGGCAGGAATTTGACTTATGTCATGTTTCGGGTTATCGTGATTTGCCGAGGCGAGATTGCTCTGAATGCCACGCCGCGATTATTGAATGGTGTAGAGTGGGACTGAATCGTATAGTGAGTAGGAGCACTTGATGTCAGACGATGGCGACCAGATCATTCTGGGAATAAACAGTAATAATTTGATGGAAGTCCTATTCTTCTCCGTTGCTGCTAGGAGGCATCAGACTTCAAACCCAGCTTCCAGATCCCATGGAAAAGCTGCAAGGCCTTCGCTAAGCATCGCAAAAGGACTGTGAGGGCTGTAGGCAAAACGCATGCGAAGGTCATACCTTCATGGAGCTTGCACCGAGTCTTCATGCAGCTTGCAGCTGTTTACATCTCAGGTTGCTGAACCGTAACTGCCCACTTCAACTCTTGAGGGGTGGGCCTGGTGCCACTCTGCTGCAGTGGCACACGCGCTGATGGCCGAGTTGACCACGATGACATCCTGCTGCTTGTTCACTGCTCAGTGCTGGGTCCAGGACCGAGCAGCCACTATCGCACAATGTGATCTTTTCGCCGAAGCTGCGTTGTGGACAAGCTGAACCCCGAAGCCCAAGTTGTCGCTACACATCCAGGAAAAGTCTAAGCTGCTTTGACCAAGGTGCCGACACGTGTAGGACAATTGCTGAAACATGTGCATGTCCGAGAGGCTACTTCCAAACTTCGTCCCTCGACGCCAGAAAGCAGACAAAGCGACTGCTTCCAGGCACCACCTGATCGAGCCGAGCCGCATAAGGGCGCACGTTCTTCGTTTTCGATTCCGTTGCTTTGACCCTTGAGCCCCCGTAACCTGTTGGTTGTGGAACGGGCTGGAACCGGTCGCCTGCTGATAGAATCGTTGATCAACATCGGTCTAAGCGACTCTCGTCTGTCAGGTGGCCATTCGAAAGGCCACTCATGCTGTTCAAGCATGTTCAATGGAAGCAGTGGTGACCCGACATGGTGCCCTGGCAGCAGCTGTTGCACATGGGGTGGTGTCACGGCCTGCTCTAGGACATGTAGTACCGCGGTGATCACATCTGGGCGGAAGCATTCGGGCATCGCAAAGCCGAGAAGTACACTAGCTGCAGAGAGAAGGATTAGGCACACGCCGTTATGTTTCTAAGATGTCACGATTTCTGCAAAGGCATCTGGCCGCCATGTAGAAGTCCGTTTTGGATTTGTAACACCACACTAATAGGAATGCGTGCCCTTATGTTTGTGCGACGGCTGGCTTGGCAAGTGTGCCTGCCCGGCTGTCCCTCCCTTATCCAGTCGCCCGAAACAGGCTGGGGGGTTGCGTAGATATGGTTGGATGCTGGGTCTATAATTATAATGAACGAGGCTCAGGGTTAAGAACCAAGGCTCGGTTTGTCGGAACATGTGAACATGGGTGGGTATTGCGATAGGCGCACGGCAGCGCATCATCAAGGGAACAGCATGCCTTCCAGATGCCTATAGTCAGCATACAACGTATACAAGCATCAGACAGTCGGGATGGGCAAAGGTGCTGGCTTAATTATGTTCAAAACTGTTTGTCACCAGGACACCTTTATCACAGGCCGTGATTGCGGCGCTGACGTGAAGAATATTCGCCTGCAGTCAAAAAAGACTGTGACGTGCGTTTGGGAGCTGTGAAACTACATTGGTCAGAACGGCCTCCAGAAGCGAGTCGTCCAAGTCCCTGAGCAGCTGCAGAGCCTGCGCAGCTGCACATTCTCACCTAAACCTGTCATGGGACTTCTGTGCAGGATCCAACAAACTAGAACATCATTTTCCTGCCATGCCTGGAGCCAGGCCGCACGCGAGGCACATGCGGTAATGGCTGCACAAACTGCCACTCCACTGTGGCACCCCAGCCGTCCAGCAAGAAGCTGCCTCAGGAAGGTTGGTGCACTTCTCGATCGTATTAGGAGCACGTTGCGGGTAGCGGTGGCCGCAGTCAGGATCAAGCTTGACACTGTGCGCACAAGCTGACGACAAAGACTGAGTGCTTCCCGGCAGCCTGTAACATGACTAATTGCCAATCATGGAGCAGTGCCAATTGCCACTGCTTGCTGCGCGCGCAGCTGATGATTTTGCAGGAGCGGTCGGTTGCCTCAACATAGCACATGAAGCACGGAGTGGCGACCGCAACCTGCGACAATTGGCAGCAGCCTCGATCACCCTGGCTGCTGCGGGCAAAAACAGCGAAGTTTGAATCGAGAAACTAGAAGGGAAGCTGCAGCCGCTGAAGCTGGCCGGACTGTATCTTGTGGCATTGCGCCCAAGCATGGCAGGCGAATTCGACTGAACTCAGAGAGGAGAGGGAGCTGTGAGATTCAGGTCTGCTTCTGGACTCAGTAAGTAAGCACACAAATTAGTTTCCGCTGCCGAGCTGACGGTAGCCAGGTAACTTTCCGAGAAAAGTGCTCCTCCTACCTTGAGCCTTGGACTGCCAGCGAAAGCGACATGATCTGCACAGGCCATCTAGGTCATCATGTGCCAGCGGGCTCGACAAGCGCTGCACCTTCTCTGAAATTCTGTCGCCTTGCTTGCATGCTCTTTACTACTACTGCTACTACTGCTACTACTGCTACTACTACTACTACTACTACTACTTGCTGCTACTTCTACTGCTACGACTACTACTACTACTACTACTACTACTACTACTACTACTACTACTACTACTACTACTACTACTACTTGCTGCTACTTCTACTGCTACGACTACTACTACTACTACTACTACTACTACTACTACTACTACTACTACTACTACTACTACTACTACGACTACGACTACTACGACTACGACTACTACGACTACGACGACGACTACGACGACTACTACTAGTACGAAGACGGCTACGACTACGACCATTACTACCATGACGACGACTACTACTGCGGTTGATGATATAAATCCTGCATTACCTTAAGGATCCTAAACTATGGGAATTATGGCATGTTCCTGATTATGGGTAATGCAGGATTTGCATCATCAACCGTACCACTACTACTCCTGCCTACTACCTCCTACTACTACAAGTACAACCACAACAACTACAACTACAAGTACTACTACTGCTACGGCTACAGCTACTACTACTGTTTCTATTTCTGGTACAGCCACTACTTGCGACCACGATTGCACTCTATTCTACTACCGCTTCGTCCATTGCTAGTGCTACTGCAACTATCTCTTCCACTGCCACACGCACTGCCACTGACAGCTAACACGGCTAGGAGTAGCAGTCGTAGTAGTCGTAGTTATCGTGGCAGTCGCAGTCGTCGTCGTAGTAGAAGCAGAAGCGGGAATAGAAGTACTAGCGGTGGTAGTTGCAGTAGTGGTGGTGCTAGTGGTAGGTGGTAATCGTGGTCCTTCTTTCATACAATACAAAAGAGTGATATACAATCAACAATACTCCACATTGAATCAGTTTTGGATTCCTCACTCAACGGTTTAAACTGTTTTGGTTCAATACCAGCACGTTTATATGCCCTAAAAATACTATGATGACCACCTCCAACATCAGATATAAATGATGTAAGTGCATCATGGAAACAGGATTTTCATTCATGGCAAAATAACAGTGCGGTTGGCACAGTAAACTGGGATGGTTGTATGGGATAATAAACCCAACTATACTGAACTTAGAACCCTAGCAAAAATTGTAATTTTAGCTGTTTCTTAGGGATTATAATAACCAAAAATTAACAATTATTTCTAAGTACCCCTAAGCCAAATAAAAATGAAAAGATTCAATTGATTTTCTCATTCCAAATGCTTAAATACCTTCAACAACTAGTGATGATACTACGAAGTTGCTGTAGTCGTCGTCGTCCTAGTGATCGTAGAAGTAGTGGTATAGTAGTAGTAGTAGTAGTAGTAGTAGTAGTAGTAGTAGTAGTAGTAGTAGTAGTTGTAGTTGTAGTTGTTGTTGTTGTAGTAGTTGTAGTAGTTGTTGCTGTTGTTGTCGTAGTCGTAGTATTAGTCGTCGTTGCGGTGGTGGCAGTGGTGGCAGGACAGCATAGCTCTGCAGAGTGTGTGATTCATCCAGCCTGCCCCAGCTGCTCTGAGGTGGACGCCGACATCACCATGGCACGGTTGCGCTCCTGCCACTGCATCAAGCTGATGCGTTCATTGCTCGGGGAATCCCTTGGGAGTCTCAGCCCGCCAGTCCACAACCAAATCTCGAACCCTCTGTTTCTGCTACTTCTACTACTGCACTGAAGCATGACCACTCACTGCAGCACTGCGCCTCGCCAGTAAAGCTCTTGCATCGCCGAGTTTCGGGCACAAGCAGTGATTGTGACAAACTGAGGTTGGGACTGCCAGCCACGAGCTCAGAGACTGGGTGGACTGCGCCTGCCATCTTCCGTGGTTGACGCAACATCGTCGAAACAAGCAACACATGAGCCTGCCTCACGAAACACTGACACGGTCTCTTCAAATCATTCTGCAATATGACAACTCGCGTGTTGACGACTGGAAAAGCAGCCTGCCCATCTTCAGGAAGATTTTGCAACGATACAGTTGCCTGGGCAGCCGTTTGGGGCTGGGCTTGTGCAAGCTGTCAGCATTTGTAGGCAGGGTGTGCTGGCATTGTATGCAGAGGCCTCGTTGAGATCGATTTCCACAACGAGCCGCACTCCCTTGACAGCTAGGCACAGGTCGGCTGCTCTACTGCAAAGAATCCTCGCCCGATTTCTGCAACATTCATCAAGGTGCAAGGTATCAACGGTGCCTGGACAAATTACTACTGGGTATCAAGTTAATGGTTGATTTTCTGCCATGCAGTTTTGAGCTTCAGCGCAGGAGCCTCCACGAGCATATCAAGAACAGTCAGGAAACGGAAGAAGGGCTCACCTGCCAAAGGTCAAGTTGCTGGCAGGAGGCGTGACTAAGACACCCATTGGTCGCGCAGGCCGCATGCGCGTGAGACCTCCTAGCTGCTAAGCTTGCTTTTGAACCGATTGTGGATCCGTTGTGGACAACTTTCTTGACCCAACCAAGCAGGGCTGACTTTTGCCGGTCATCTCCTGCAAGGGCAGCAAGCCGAACCAAACAAACGGTTCGAAAGGTGATCTGGGGTGCTGCCATATACATCCATGCATCTAAGCCTCAGTGTTACCTGATCACCGGAAGGCCGACATGTGTCCTGTGTCGCCATGCAATGAAAGCCCTTCCGACAACACTGCTCGCTGCACACTTGCGGCGCACCCCGAGACCCAAAGGACGGCAAACACCTGGCTGGCCAACCTGACAGGATGGCCACAGGGTCGCAGTCGCAGTCATCCGTTGCACTACTAACGGTGGCCCTGCGGAGCTCATTTGAATGCACCAACGGCCTGGAACGCGACCCCGGCGGCCGGGTCAGCCATCAAGCCAACCTTGAGAACACTCGGTGGCACTTCGGAGAATCAAGTCACATGCCAGCGGCGAAGCAGCAGGCCAGCCAACAAACTTAAGAAAGCACAGCAACGTTTTCGAGTTCCCTTGATTCTGATGTGCCTATCCTGCTTCAGCAGGACAACGGTCCTGGCAAGGCGGTTGGTGCATGATTTCTCCGATGCGGCTGGTCCTGTGTCCCGACTGACGTGACTGCAGAGCTGCACAGCAGCGCAGTCTCGAAAAGATCTCTGTACAAAGGGGCAGTTTCCGAACCCTGGTGGCTGGAAGCCGCCCAAGTCCAGCTTTGATTCAGGGGGGCTTCCAAATCAAATCTCCATGCAGGAGATTTACAGTACTGGAAAGTGAAAGGCTTGCAGCTGTCGTGCTCCGACGAAGCCTCTAGGCTCTGTGGGTCTGGGTGCACAGACTAGCGGGGTGCCAGACTGCTAGACTCGACACACTTAAGTACCGAAGGACCAAAGCCTCGAAAGAAGGCAGCTTGCTTTGGGCCCCCAGACCCAAAGGCCTGCCAGCTACACGTCGGGTGCCATTACGGCTCAAAGAAAGCACGGTTTGTCAGCGAGTTCCACCACCACAACGTCTCAGGCGTGTTCGGGTCACAGAACTGATACCAGCATGATGTCTCGGCTTCGTCAGTATAGAACCAATCGTTGTTGCGGGGGCAAAAGAACCAATGCCGGCCCTCGGCGTCTTGATACCGCTCCCACACTTCCAAGATGTAGTCCTGCGCTCCCACCTTGCAAGCTTGCTTCACACTCTCTCGCATTTTATGAGCTACTTTGTGGTCACCGCACACTTTGGAGCCTGCTCTGCGCGCGGCCGCAGATCTTGCGAGTCCTGGCTAAAGCATTGCAAAAGGCTGTTCCAACTGAAAAACTACGTACAGGCTACTAGCACCGGCTGCAGGAATGATACGGGTACGTGCTACAAACACTGGAAAAACTCTGAAGAGCAGCGTTCTTGCTCAGCACCGGCTCTTTGCCCAACTGCCAGGAACTTATGGCAAGGTCGTGTGCGTGCTAAGGCTGCACGTTGAGACGTGTACGAAAGAAACAGGTTCCATCGTTCTCGAGCATCTGTTCACGAAACGGAATCACCAGTGCCGCTCACGTAGCTCTACATTGGAACATCGTTGGACTGGCCAGGTGCAGTCCTCACCCCTCGGCACGCTTGCGAGGTCTCCGGAAGGCGCTGGCTCTTCCCCAGGCTCCGGCACCTCTTGAAAGGGCTCTGGCACCTGTGGACGCGGGATGGAAGCACCCCAACAGCAGTGTTACCCCAGAGAGCGAATGCGGACGATGATGGACTGTATAAGGCCTTTAAGGCTTCAGGTGCCAACAGGCTGCTTAAAGGCAGAGTCTTGCAAGTGTCTACTAGTGCAGTCACATGCACTGGCTATTCGGGCAGCCCAGTCTCTCAGTACAAACGGTGCTTTTCGCAGGACCCTGCTGAAGCGGTGCCGAATGCTTCTTCATGAGTGAAGCCAATGATTGTTCGGTCGAACCGGAGCGCCGACCGGTCGCGAGAAGTTGCTTGAGTGCACGATCTCCCACTACGTCCCGGTCGATGTGTCACCAAGGCGTGTCCCGGTGACCATCTTGCCATTGTGTCGGCCTGTGTTCGTTTTGTCGTCCAAGCCCGGGAAGGATGGTGGTCCGGTTGCCTCGATTTTGGGGTGGTGCCGAAGAACCACCAGGCAAGGCGGGGAAATTGTGTCTGAACCAGAATCCGTGGTGCTGGTCCTGTCGGTCTCCTGCTGGTCTCCTGCGGCTTTTAAGTCTGTTGGTAGTCTCCGGGTGGCTCCTAGTGGTCTCCTGGGGGTCGGGGTGGTACAGTAGTTAATGGTCGTCGTGGTCGCGCTGGTCGTGAACTAGTATGTCCTCATCTTGTCGCCACCCTCTCGCTTCTTCACACAGTCAAGAAGGCAGGAGCGGCCTCGCACTGCCCTGCGCGTCGAGCCCGGCTTCTCGTCTCTCAATCAGAATCCAGTGTACCATAATCAACTTAGGGCAACATGCTTCCATGGGGCTTTGTATCGGGGCATGAGGTTGTTGATTCTGAGTACCGGCTACCAGAGCTAAACTTTAGCAAACCACACCCGTCTACAAGGCCTGAGCTAAGCCGTAAACTGTTTGCACATAGTGTTACATGCTCTGCCCAAGCAGAGCCGACATGTTCTTGCAAGTGCACGAACATCAACATGCAACGTCGAGCCTGCAAATCACCTGTACAGATTTATTCAGCAGTGAACGCAAAGAAGCAGGTTCCGCATTCTCTGCCCACCCCCACCCCCCCACCCCCCGCATTCTCAAGGCTCCAATATGTTATCCATGTCAATGACGACAATGCATCGCCCAATGCGCTGGCGGGATTCAATCGCTTCGATGCCAGCATGTTCGACATGAGCAAACTCTAAGCCCTGCCCACAGGGGCAGCAGGGGAGTGGAATATTCCGCGTGACACGAACCAGGTCTGTCTTCTTCGGACGAAAGAACCCCAACACTTTCTGTGTACCACATTGTTTGAGGAATCACATGCAGTCATGATGAGGCACGGCACACGGACACAGTACGGTAATTCATCTCGTTAAAGAACTTGTGATGGCAGCACCAAAGACACGGTAGTCGAATGATTCATGGTGGCAGACAGCTTGCCGAAGCTGCTTACCCGGCAAGTGCGACATGTAGCAACAACCGAAAACCCCTTTGACGAGTAAAAGACCACCGAGGAGAGGAAAGCCCGGGCAGCACAGATTGCGACTATGCCGCCCCCCCACCCCGGCAGCACAGAATGCGGCCGTGCCGCCCCCCTGGCCAAGAGAGAGAGAGAGACCCCCAGACTATAGAGGACCTGCAAACTCCTCAGTCAATCATGGAAAGCAGCCCGGCGCAGCGTAGGGGCCGAAGGCCCAATGCTCACGGCGCAGCCATAGCAGCGCGGGCATCAGTGTGAACCCCAAGCTCGGGGACCCTACGAAGCACCACCCGAGCATTCTCCCTCTGCAGGCAGACGTTGACAGATTGCTGCAGCTGCTCACCCACCTGCCCTGCTCCGTCCACCAAAATGAAACACAACACAAAGCAAAACGCAAACAAGCCTGATGAGCTCCAGGTGCTTCATGCATTTCTGCATGAAGAGCAGCAGTGAGATTCGAGACTTGCGTGTTGATTCCACCAAAGCGATCCCAGGTCCGCCTTGTTCGTCACATGCCCACAAGAATGGCATTATCTTGCTTGCATGTTTCTGTCTTCTGCAAAGCCTGCCTCATGCCAAGGTGCTCTATAAATGCCGGCGCAGGCGAGCCTGCAGCCTGCCGTTCATCTCGAAGCGGCGACCTGGCAGCAGGGTCCATTGAAGAGGGATTCTCTTGCTGGTCCAGCAGGAGTCCGAGTCCTAGCCAAGTTCTCCGTTTGCAGACCGGTCGCCAGGCCCCAGCATTGAGAAAGTCGTCGTCATGAAATGCATCGTTCACCCCCACTGCATGCGACCAAAAGCGATCTCTACCCTGTACCTCGGAAGCGGGTTTGTTTCACCGTCTAGCTTACCATTTCATTACACTGAGTTCAGTGCCACAGAACAAACCACAGGTGCCTGACATTTGCCTGACTGTCTTTTGCAGCCCGAGCACAGATTCATCGGTTTCTTCGCTCCCACTCTCTATAGTGGCGAGCGGTGGTGATCGTGGTGTGGCCGATCCATGAGATGAGACTTCAACGGAATCCATCAAAGCTGTGTCCTCAGCGGCGCATGCGGCCGTTTAACAGGGCCTTGCATCGCAGGACCCTTTCGCGTGTCTTTGAAGCAACTCTTCACACCAAGTGCGCTGTTTCAGCTCCGGACTTGATGAATAAGCACGCTGCTTCTGAGTCACTGTGCTTGGGACGACTACACGTCAATCGCTCAAGCATACTCAGCCGTCGCAAACTTGACAGTTCCATGTGCTAGCCTGCAGGCCAAAGCATTAGCCTCCGAAAGTCCAAGTCTCGTCCGCAGTGATTCGGAATTTGCACAGCGGACATTCGTCGCTGCGACAAAGCCACTCATCGATGCAGCACTGGTGGTACCTGTGAAAGCATGGTAGGATGCGGAGCTGCTGCCCTTCGACGAAATCCTCCAAGCAGATACAGCACCTTAGCTGCAGGAGCGCTGGGAAGGCTGGCACTGACGCACCAATTTCCCACACACTCTCACAGTAATCAAAGTCAAAACATTCGGCGAAGGACTCCAGAACTGTAGACACTGTAACAAAAATCAACAAGATCCCGATGGTAAAATGTGGCTTTTAGTCCTTTCCTAGCAAACCTGAACACTTGGCATGAGCTTGGCATGCTGCAAAATTCGAGCATGCGCTCAGTTCGCCTCACCACATCATGCACATCCAGGCAGCCGAATTGATTCTATGATTGAATGGGAATGTATGTCACACCGAGGAACTTCTTGGATGCAGAATCGCAAGCCTGGCGAGACAAACCGGTTCTTTCCAGTAGAAAGAGAGAGGTATCACGAGGCCTCTCCCCGCACATCCTTTTGCTTGAAGGTGTAAAGTGCCTCAGCTCAGGCCGCCTAAACCATGCCACACAGAGGTCAAGACACTACCTCATTGGACTGTTATAAAACAGGCGCGTCCCATCTGTGACAGCCCCACTGCACATCCGGCGGCCTCTTGGAAGCTCAATGCATATGTAAGTCTTTCAATAATTTTGTGGCAGGACACGGTGTGGGCTTCGATCACTCCCCTCGCCAAAGATCGGGTCGAGCTCAAGGAGGCAACGCTTCCGATGTCCCAGACAGTGACGCCAACGCCGAGGCCAACACCTGCTGAATGCCAGGGGGAAGACATTCACAAGGACTCGGCCCGACTTGGTGCGGTTTTCAACACATGAGGCGCATGGCCACCAAACAGATCTTCTGCAGCCTGTGGTCAAGCCCACTCCATTCGAAATGATATCAAGTGTACAGCATACCCCTTTTCTGGAAAGGAATGTTACCTACGAGTAGCAACGCTTCACCCTGAAAGCTTCATGGCAACAAGGCAACTATCCGAAGCGACTCGTCGCCAACCGCACAGAAACTCTCGACACCGGCGCTGCCTCCGGGAAAGACAAGTCCAGGTGGAATCGGTGGAATTGGACCAGGAATCGGACCACCAGGCGGAGGACCGGACACGAAATTGTCCCGGTCCCGGCCTTTCAAAGTGGTTGCTGGCTGCTGCTCTAACTACCACCGCCCCTACCTCTACCGGTCCCTACGGCTGCATAACGACGGCGTATTGAATGGTATTACTGACTCCGATGGCTGGCGGATTGCCGCCATTCGGCTCAATGACAAGCTTTTCCAATCCGAAAGGCCGTGACCGAAGCTGTCGCCGCGATGAAACACAACCTTCCGAGCTTGGCAACAGAGCTTGTTCTTGGCACACGTTCGCAGTTTCATGCGAGCCTGCGACATCTCGAAGTAGGGTGGACGAGGAGGAGGTATCGACGGCGGTGGAGCTCTTGGTGGCACAATGACCGGCTCCTACAACGCAGTTCGTCAATAACGGGAAATATTGCCACAAAAACACACGTTAATACTTCCAGGCTATCTAGCCATCATTAGCCGTATCTATACCGTGCTGATGGAGCAACGGCTGTGGGCTCTCTTTCCGGCCTCTGTACGCAAAGAGCCCATCCATGTCGTCTCCAAAGAGCTCTGGCCCATATCCTGCCACTGCTCAGGGCAAGAAAGGTCGATTTTAATTGTTTCTTGAAGCTAATCCCTAAAACCCGCAACGAGGTATTAGAATCGGTTTTAATACATAATTGAAATTGAAATCCAGACTTATTTGGGCAGGATGGCACTGGATTTCGATTTTAATTGTCAATTAGAATCGAGTCTAATATCGATTTTAATACCTTCCAGGGTGACCTGACCAGGCACACGGGTGTATTTAAACCGATTTTAATACATATGGACGGCCACTCCGCCCGGGAGGTCTTAAAATCGATTTTAATACTTTTTGCTTGGAGGACGGTTTCCAGAGCGGGTCAGGGTTTCGGGAAGAGTTTCGGGTTGAGGTCCTCGGGTTTCACAGAGCTGTGGGTTCAGGTCTGCGGGCTTTGCAGCACTCTGAGGGTAGACGGTCTAGTGTTTAAGGTTTAGGGTTGAGGTCTGTGGGGTTAAGGGTGGGTGTCGGTTTCAGGTTGTCGGGCTTCACAGGGCTCCTTGTTGGGTTTACGGCGCAGGGCTTTGGGTTCAGGTCTTTCGGCTTTGCAGGACTCTGAGGGTGCTGTAGAGCGTTGAGGGCTTAAGGTCTAGTGGTGAGGTCCGCGGAGCTCGGTCCTTGGGTTTCAGGTTCACGGGTTTGGGTTCAGGTCTTTCGGGTTTGCAGCACTCTGACGGTAGAGAGTTTAGGGTTAAGGGTTAAGGGTTAAAGGTTAAGGGTGAAGGGTTAAGGGTTTTCGACGCTCACACTCGCACAAGGCAGGCAAGGCTCCACATAGTCCACAGTATCTCAAAAGGGTTAAGGGTTTAGGGTTCCGGGTTACATTGGGGCTACAGGTAAACCCTCAAAACCCCAAATCCCCAAGCCCTGAAGCTCTACTTGGGGGTTCATGGGACTTAGTAAGTACAGTTATAAGTACCTTAACTGGGGTTATAACCAATTTTAAGTCTAGTTACCTTATTTATAACCATAGTTACTGAGTCCCATGAACCTCTAAGTATAGCACCTGGGTACGAAAGCCTAGATCACGAAACCGTAGGGTTGCTATCGCCCCCTTAATCCTTTAAACGGTCCCAAGTCCTGTCATCCAGGTGTACAAATGCGTCCCATATCAATTAAAATCGATTTTAATACCCTGTGCAGGGGTCCCAATAGCCAAACCAATTAAAATCGATTCCAAGTGTTGTCACGAGGCGGACCAATTATAAAATCGATTTTAATACCCTGCGCAGGGGTCCCAATAGCCAAATCAATTAAAATCGATTCCAAGTGTTGTCACGAGGCGGACCAATTAAAATCGATTTAATACCCTGTGCACGGGTCCCAATAGCCAAATCAATTAAAATCGATTCCAAGTGTTTCCGAACCCAGAACCTCTGGACCAGGGTATTAAAATTGATTTCAAGTCATTGGCAAGAGAAAAATTGAGAAGGTATTAACATCGATTTTAATTGTTTCTCGAAGCTAATCCCTAAAACCCGCAACGAGGTATTAGAATCGGTTTTAAAAACATAATTGAAATTGAAATCCAGGCTTATTTGGGCAAGAAAAAGCTCGATGAAACCGGCGCATCATAGAGCGTGTGTGACTCACGATTGGACCACATCTGACTTCTGGGCCTTCTGGGCGTTAATAGCTGAACATCGAAGTAACTCATAGTCGAATCTGCTTTGTTCATGCCCTTGAGAACCGGCCTGACGGGTCGCCTCGGTGAAGGCAATTCTCGGGGCCTCAGCATGTCAGGAACGTTGCGGTAAAGGTCATGAGTCATTAGGACGAATATGCTACATAAGCAAATTCATTGCTCGCGCGCTGCACTGCGCAAGAGAATCGTTCGAACACCTGCACCTGAGGCTCTCACAGGCATCGGAACATCATGTCGCGGCAGGTTGCGGACATTGGCGCCAGTGCCTCATTGTTGTGATGAAAATGCACCACAGGGCCACTTTGTCCACACACAGGTGGGTTCAACCATTCAGATTCATACTGTCGGGGTACAGGTATTGCGTTATAACGAGTCAGTATGCCATGCGGTTCGCGAGTCGAAGTTGCAGTTCTGCGAATGCTTTGACCCGTCAAAAACGAGAGCAAACATCAGCATACAGATTTCAGAGCATCAAACATCGGGAAAGAAGAACCCAAACTCCTTTCCATCGAAGTATTAGACATCAACGAAACACAGAACCGCCAGCAAACCTCAAGTTTCCTCCAAACCCCGGGCCTTGACCTGAAACCGTGCATCTGGAGCCCGACCCTGCTTTCTTGGCGGGTTCGAGTTTCTATACGCAGGCTGACACGCGGACTACAATGAGCTCCGAGGTAAGGCACACCCACGCCTGTTGCGAGGATGCATGTGGAATTTCAAAACAGGACGTATGGAAGTTCCATCAAACAAAACTGAAGATTCCCATCGGTACCTAAACTGGTGGACAATCGTGAAAAGGTTTCCTGTGCTCGTAATGTAAGATGGGCATAAAAGAAGCCACACCAGGAAACCTCGATGGCCGAGCATGCGCAAGCGCAAGTTGCTCGTACTTGGGTCCCGGAGCTTTGACTACAGGGCTCCAACACAGGGCTCCAAATGCTTCACTCATTGCCTGCGATGGTCGGAAAAGTCGCAGGAATCCCTGTTGCCACGAAGCTGCCTGACTGGCTGCTTGAGGACGTCGCTCGCCAAGGACCAATCTGGCCTGCCAGCTGGATGTCTTGCCCACAACTACAGTAGCCACGGTGGAGGGCTTGCTGCGATTATTTGATTCTCTTCTACCATCTTTTACCTACGAGAGCAGTCGATCTGGGAATCAGCTCAGGAAGTTCTCGCAGCAATCTAGCCCATTCTCGCCTGGTTCGTGCGAGTGGACTGGTACCGATGGGGGCGGGACGTTCAGCGGCTCATTCAAGGGTGCGAAGAAGAACGGGCGCGTATCAGAACTATGAACTGCAAAGCCATCCCAGGAGTCTTCCCATGGGTTTTCGCTGTCGAGGGTTGCCCAGCCATTCCAAGGATCTCCGAAATCACCACTGCTCCACGGATCACGACCAGCTGCAAGGCTCCATGGGTCCCAAGGGTCATGGCTGTGCGTCCCATGGTGTTCTGCAGCTTCTCGGGTACGCCCACGCCAAGGTAAGCGAGGAGCTGGAGGAGCTCGAGGGCCCGAGCCTGCAACCAGAAGTATGCATGAGCAACACATCATCAGACGAGCCGTACTTGGTGCAAGGACTGCTGCACGAAGTGCTCACTAGAATCGTCAAGTGCAACAACAGGTGCCATGCCATGGGTTTCGTTCGTTCCTGTGTCCCGTGTCTCTTCGCAGCTTCTACCGCGCATCAAGCAGGATGGCGATAGTTGTTCCGTTAGGTCGTGCAGGCATTGCAGGCTGATGGAGCCGACTGCCAGGTGTTGCGTGGAAGCGCGCCTGGCACTGGACCTACAGGGTGCCCTGTGAATCATCCAAGCTTCTTGTCAGTGTGCTGGAAAAATAGTGCGCGGTTACGACTTGAGAGCCTGTTCTGTTCATCATGGCACACCGTGATGTTTCTGCGAACGCGGCACAGCAGAAGGGTCGTCCGAATCTTGTCTTGAGCTCTGGGAAGCTTAGGAAACAGCTCATGTCTCATGAATCTACACAGCCCCACACACACTCCACAAGCTTCCAAAAAAAGTCCTGAGCCTCGCCTCTGTCTCGCCACCGTGGAGCGCCTTCGGCCTCGGGGAGATTTCACGAGCCGAGCCCTGGCCCTGGAAATTTCACAACAGCACTGTGCTCTCCTCTGAGGCGTGGTGGAGCAGGGGGCTCTCGCAGGCTCCTCATCGCTCCACCTCGCCTCGTTGTGGGTGTCCCGATGGGAGGTCTCGTGTGAGACAGCAGCTGCCCCGATCCCGCTGTGCACGAGCCCTCTTGCAGCCTACTCCTGCTTGGGCCGGCTCGATGGAATCGGTGCCCCCACTCGAGAGGCGACACCACAAGCGGGGCTTGTCTCCGCAGATCCCGCCTCTCTCTCTCTCTCTCTCTCTCTCTCTCTCTCTCTTTCTTTCTTTCGCCAGGGTTATGGTGTAGGGGTTTTACCCCCTACACCGCGCGCGCATCCGCCCCCGACTGTTGCGGGGCGAATATGTTACATGCAGAGACCCACGGCACCAGGTGCTTAAGTGTAAGCAGCTTCGCTCGGCAACTGGAATACACCCTGGTCGTAGCAACATGGAAGTTAGAGGTTGGTAAAGCTCTCTCGGCCACATGGCCCCCCATGTGTTATCTCTCTCTTTATCTCTCTATCTCTCTTCTTTGTGAAGTTGGTACCATGTTCTGGAGTGGAAAGAGCTGCGCTCTTGTTTGCTTGCAAGCTTCGGGCAGCAGACTTCAAGCTTTGAGGATCAAAAGCACAAGCTAAATACACTCAGCAGCGAGTGACAAGAACGAGTCGCGGGAGCCTTGAGGACATATACTGGGCCCTGAAGTCGTACTGAGAGCTCTGCCTCTCCTGGCTTGTTCAATGTCGGGGAGCCCTCAAGCGGCCACGTGCTCGGGTGGCCAGGTGGTCCGCAAGGAGACGAAGCAATTCGCGAACGAAGTTCCACTACAAAACAATGCTCGCCGCAGCCCACCAGAGAAAGAGAGAGTGAGAGAGCGCGCAAGCGAGCGAAAGAGACAGTGAAGAGGTTCACTTTGGCTCGGTGAGGTGAGTTTGTTGATATCTCCACATCTGCTGCAGACTCTGCATCGGAAGTTTTGCAAGCGAGATATGGCGAGATCTATGGCGGCCCTATGGACAGATCTGGATGGGCACCGATGTGTAGCATCATGCAGGACCCCCCACACCTGATGGAATGCATGAATGAAGCTGATGAATGCATGCTGGCAAAACAGCATCCCCTGCCCAGCGCAGCAAGCACGTGTGTGAGCCCGTCTTCAAATCGCTGAGGTAGCGACTGCCATGGCGGCAAGATCCCACTGCGGGCTGCTTCGTCGCATGTACTGGATGGTCGAATCGGCCCAAGGCTGCTAATGCTGTGTTGGCTTTGGGCTGATGCTTTTTCTGCATGCGTGAAGATAAGCCGCGGGGCTGTGCTTCGAATCCCAACTTGGAAGTATCCCCTGGACGTGGTTGTTTGGCTTCGGAATCTAATCGTGCGACTTCCAATGTGACTCGCACACAAAGCCTCTCATACCACTGCATCCCCGTCGATGACCCTGCTTTATGTCATGATGTTGATGCCAAAGTAACCATGAAGCAAGAGATTGGATGTGCGGCAAAAATCACCGAAACCAACCACCCAAGCGCGATCAGCTGAAGGAGCCTCAGTGGCTGTCGTCGACGGGTGACATGATTTTCGACAGACAGACGCTGCCCACATCACCACTTCGCAGTCTGACTATGCTGGCCCCATGCAGGGCATTAGTCATTAGTCCCTTACTCTATTTGCAGCAGTCCATGCTCCCTCTGCCCAACCACACCTAGCTGCACCCAGCTATCGGAAACCGAAGAACGAGTCCCACCTCAAACAGAGGGGCTGCGTCTGCACCACTCCCAGAGTTCACGCGCAGGTCAAAGCGAAAGCGGCCGCCGCCTGGCAGGCGGTGGTGAAGAACCGGCCTACCGCGTTTTCTCTTCAACTGTGACTTGGAGGACCAGTCGCGCCACCAATTTCTGTCAAGGAAGCATTGGAAAAGTCTGCAAGTTCCAAAGACGGTAACGAGCGAGGGTCCAAGAAGTAGGTGGCTTGTGATCTCAAAACCTCCACACTGGAACCCTGTCTGGGCGATACGCTTGCCAGGCACATGACATGAATCTCAAGAGTCATGAAAGCTTTGCATCGGCAGAGCATTTAGCGCCTAACAAATACTTTCACACCTCGCGCAACAAAAGCCGTGAACCAGCAGAGAGGCCTCCGGATGTCATTGGCACAGTGGAGACAAGAACTTGTCTCGAACCACCCAAAACCTGTCCATCAAAAGAAATCCATGCTCAGCGCTATCGGCCCACGTGAAAGTGTCGCTGCCTGCAGCTCTGGCGCTGAATTCCAACCTTGCCGCAATGATAGACGGGCGTGGTCAGAGGCACAAGAACACCCTTGTCACACAATCGAGAGCCCACGCAAGATGCAGCTGCATGAGATCAGTTCTTGGGCAGTTGCAACTAACCACCGGTCGGCAAAGCACAGACTAAGTGATCAATGGTATTGCACCCGACGGCTTGGACTTCTTGTGGTGCACATCATCCGGGCCGCCAACAGCGCAGGCTCGCAGAGTCATCAGCATCTTAGCTGCGAGCAGAGCCCATGTAGCTAGCAGCTCTGTCGCAAGCCCACACAGCTGCATTGCCCTGTCCTAGGTGCCCGGCATCTCAGATGCAGAGCATCGGCATCCTCGAAGGGTTTGAGAACCTTGCAAACAATCACACGCAACGAACCGCAGGATTATGAACCACCACGGCTTACGAAAGTGATATCAAGCTCCGCAAACACGCAGATTCAGCTTCTGGGTGCTGGAGGTGGGGACGATGGGCGTCAACCCAGAAGGGTTTCGCAAAACTTTCGACATCTAAGCCGATTTGCAACAGAAATCTTTCACCACAGCTACTCAATCCTGGGCAACTACCGCATTCTCTCGGCACGCACATGCCCTTCCTGAGATCGGCGGCACAATCTGCACGTCGCTCCGCACGGACGAAGGTGGAACCGTCCACTCGACGGGGCCGTGAGGCCTGGCGGGCCGAGCTGCCATGCACGCGATGGCCACCGGATGCCATCTCCTGGCCTTTGACTTCTCCTCCTGGAATTCCTCCGCCTGGCCATGCGTCTCACGACCCAGCCAGACCGATAGCGATTCTGAAGGCACACCTCTGGGTCGCCTGTCGAGAGCTCCGTCGGGCCTGCACAAAACGTCGTGGCTTCAAACGTGCCTCATTCGCCCAGACTTGGCTTGCCCAATGCTTCGGGCATTCTGCATTTCCGATATGACTCACACCACACTTACCCAATCAGCTTTGCCTTGTTCGGCCTTTGTGTGCATCTGCTTTCCATCTAGGTTATCTGCTTTGTTGACTTTCTTTTGTCCTGGCATCCGTCATTGATGTTCGCACACAGCCTACACATGTTCGAGCACAACCTGCAAGCAGGCTTGAGAACCTGTGCCGATCCGTGCACACCTCCATGTTGGCGTTGTTCCGCATGGTTTCTTGTGGGCTTGGGCCATTGGGGTTGCAACTTCACTTGTGAGTTGAAACTCAGATCGCTGTCGCAAGCCTCTATCACGGGTCGCCCTGAAACGTCCTCATGTAGGCAGGCTCCGATTTGAAACTGCGCCGGGCCTTTGCTAGTCCCGTGCTGCGAGTTCTCAGGCGTCTGCCTCAGGATGCGCAGTTTGCGGGCATGGGTTTCGGGAAATACTGCGATGCGGTGCTTGGAGAAGATGCAGTGCACAGGTCAAAAGCCGCAACAAGCCAACATTTTTCAGCAGGGTTCAAACGTCAACGCGTGCGAATTCACAGGGCCTGTCCGTGGCAGTGGGCCCTGCTTTTTGCAGGAACGCAGCCGGACCGCTGCCCGATGTTGCTTTTCGGACACGGGACATTACCCCATATTTACTCGTTACTCCCGCATGCTCTGTCTGGTATCAGCACTTAGACAACTCCGGGCAGCTTTCTCTTTCACCCTGTGCTGGCTCTGCAGTCAGTACATATGTCCAGATGTTTTCGTGAGAAATGCCTACGACGAGTAACATGCTCTATCCAACAGCGGCAGCTCTATTGTTGAGCTTAATTAATACAACAGCAAATACGATTCTGTCACAGCTGAAGTTACTCTGGAGCAGCCTCAGACGGCCTCAGGCGCCTCCTTCGCCTCCACCACCTCAAACAGCAACACGAGCCGAGCCGGCATTTTTGTGAAGTTGGCGTGTCAGGTTCACTGGAGCAGTAAAAGACAAAACCTCGTGACACGGGAGCCCTCTGAAAGAAGTTTGGTTGCCGAACCCTTTCCAACGATCGCCTCCGCCCGCTGCAGCTTCCTCATCTTGAACCCATGGTTTGCCGGTACAGTTCCTTGGCTTCGAGGTATTGCTTGGCCACTCTTTCGGCTAGGCTCCATGTGACCCAACACATTCAGACGTAGATTGTTATCCGATGAGACGGATGTCAGTGAAAGCAACGGCGGCCAGATGCAAAACACTAGCCAGCAGGATCAAGCGGACACGATCAGGAAGATATTGCTCGGGGATGGGAATGTCTGCAGATGTCTCAGCATGTAAAGCATCTCTCCAGTCCAGTTGCTCTTCAGGATCAAGAGCTACGTCAGAGCTAATTACTATAGGAAACGTCTCTTGCTCGAAGTGACTGGATCACGGCCAGCGTGTACTCTGGCAGGGTGACCTCATGCAACACTTGAAGCATACGATGCCCTGAGATACATCGAGTCGGCCTAGCTGGTCAACCATCAATGTCGGAGCAGATGCATTGCAACGGTTTCAATCCAGGCGGCAAAAATGATTTCGGTGCCCTCGCGGGTTCTCAGGCGCACGTTGGCGAGCTCGCTTTCCTGAGCTTTTGAAGCTGGAGACTTTGAGCGTGCCGGCAGGCTCGCAAGCAAGGGCACCCAAACACGCTTGCGACACTGCACGCCGCATTTCTCTACGGCTCAGCCGACTGTACCAGATCAAGGGGCCGCGGGACCAGTCAGGAGCTCCTCACCAAGTCGCTGTTGAAGGGGGCTCAGGGTCTCATCGCAGAAAGGCGAAGCGCGCAAGCCTGTATAGCCCTCTCAAGTAAGACAACGTGCGCTGCGACAACCGCATGCTGCGTCGAAACATTTATGTTCATGAAGTGGTCATCCAAGCGCGCTGTGCAGAGAAGGCACCCCTGAATAAGGTAGAATCGATCGACAAACTGTTGTTGCCTTCAAGCACTTCTTGCAGTGGGCAATGTAGTCAGACATCAGGGCGGCATAGATGACAGCCTGAGCCGAGTGGTGTGCATGATGCCCGCAAAGACCACCAAATGAGCTATAGGGTAACCATACATCCTGCATGGAAGCGAATCTGATCAACGCCGCAGACAGCATTGGCTCACACTGGCATCTTGAGGGCTGCACCCTCTCATACGGCATGCTCTCGTGCCTCAGCTTGCATTCGAGCCTGGAGCTTACTTAGGTGCGCACCACAGTCTCATGATGTGCGCTTCACAGCCGTCGTTTTGGCAGCTCTGGTGACGTCTACTTGGGGCCACTTATTCGCAACAGCCCCAAGAAGCTGGGTGCGGCAGAAATCCCCTGCCGAATCAGGACTAGCCTGGACCCCACATATTGACACCGCGGCTGCGCATCCAAGATGCCACTTCGTGGGGATGCCGTCGGAGTTGATGACCACAAAGCCGATCACCTTAATTACTCCTTCTGCTCTAAGGTCTTCGGCGTTTTCGAGCACTGGCTTACGAATCCAATCAAGTCGGACAGTCGGAATGTTCCGAACAGTAACCCGACACGTTTTCCCGAATGGTTGCACGTCAAACAGGATTTCAGAAGCTCGCTTTTGTTGCGGCTGGGCCAGTGGCAGTGGGGTAGTCCGTCAAGAAGCCCTTGAGGATTGCATCCACCTCAACAGCTCCAGTTTTGGAGGTCAAGGGATGCAAGGAGAAGCTCGGATGGGCCTCCGAAGTCTGAGCCCCAGCCATGACCTGTCCGGGTGGTTCTGGCAAGGCTCACTGTGCCGCGTTTCCTGGGTTAGGACACAGATGATCCTGGACGCTTGGCTAGCCTGGCTAGACTTAGGACTTGGGCCTTCGAAGCCTCAACTCTTGCATGCTAGTTTCTTACCGTCTTCGCCACAGCACGGAGCCGAGATCGGGCAAGAGGCGTCAGACAAGCCGGACCTTCTAGCCAACTTGGAAGGTGTTCAGCTGATATGTGCCCTCTCGAGCCGAAGTAGCAGTGTCGGACAGGATCATGCGACGTGCTCACACATGTCGGTGCGAAGGGCATCATGCGACTGCCAGCACACCCATCACCACAAGCCGGAACTCATGAACAACCCAGTGCCAAGCTCGCCCTCGACTGCCGCCGCAGACTGCGCGGCGGTAAACTGCGCGACCTTTGGCGTGGGTTAGCTATAATAGATCAGCTTGGGCTTGAACCATACAGACAAACTGACGACCTTGTTCCGACTCAATCGCGCACACGTGCGAGAACACACCGGCCCCGACGATGATGATGATGCTGATGAGGATGATGATGATGATGATGGTGATGATGATGTCTCAGATAACGTCAGCAGCTGCACTAGCTGGTACAACCAGGCCCGCATCCAGCCATGCACGACCCTGCCTGCTGCCCGGACTCACAGATTCTGAGTGTGGAACAGGCTTATGCTTATGGATAGCTTCGTCTTGAGTTCGGAGCACGGATAGCAATAAAAAGTCGTGCTGAAGCATGCAGCTCGACATCGTCAGCTTGCAGCCGTTTCTGCTTCTACTTTTTCGATTCGCTGAAGCTTGCAAGCTGGTAACCAGTGAACAGTGGCAAAGATGAATCGAAACGAGGCAATTAGAAGTCATTCGGAAAAGTTGACGGGTCGAAGGGACACTACACTTGCATTTTTGTGCTTCGGTTGCGAATGCTTCGCGGCTACTTCCCTGCGCTTGAAGACTGGCAACTTCATAAGTCATAGATCAAGGGCTCAAGACGTTTGCAGTGCCAACAGCTCCCAGCCCCATCTTCTCTACAGGGTGCCACCGAGTCCTCCGTTTTTGTCTTCTTTACTTTTTACACTTTCTGAGTCACATGCCAGCTCGTCCCTGGGCGGGAGTAAATCCCAAAGCAAGACCTCGTGACTTGTAAATCGGGACGTGTCATTGCTGCATGCAGTCCGTCCAAAGCTACAACCCGATGGATCCACCTTGGAAAAGGCCCCATCGATCTCGTCCTTGTTTGGTGACGGAAGCACCTACGACAACGCGGTGCGACCCGGATTCGTTCGGGGTGATATTATCAACCCGACCTACTATCATCCTCGCCTGTTGCAGTCTTTGTGGCAGACGGTTGGGACCCCAAACTTTTAGTTAATGGACCTGGGTCTGAGCGTCCGACTCGCTCGACAGCCGAAATGCAGGCACCACCAAGATGGAGCAACGACGACAGGACACAAAACAGCGAAATCTTACTCGTCCCCAAGTGTTTCGATCAGAAAAGCTCCTCAGACTTTTCAGGGCTTTTTGCTGATTGCCAGGCTGGTGAACCATATAGACGCACAGAACGAACCAACCCGTTCACGCTCAAGCGCCTCCACCTTGCTTTCTGCGTCTTCCGACTCCTCCACGAATGCTGGCGCGCCTGCGCCTGGAAGTGGCATGAGTGAGTCGCTTGACATGACTTAACTAGCAAAAGCACTTCCTTTGCACACTTCAGCCAGAAGCAGGGTCTGGTCTTGCTTTGTCCGTCTACTCGTATCCACACAAGAAACCTACACACACACACACACACACGCACACGTCTGCGTTTGAACAGATCTACATGTGCATACCATATACATCCACATACCCGCGCAGTGACCTCATATGTTGTGAGTCTTCAATACGGATCCGGTGACCGACATTCGCAATCTCTCTCTCTCTCTCTCTGTTTTTGGCTCCCGATAAGTGTGTGTGTGTGTGTATGTATATACGTATTTATGTACGAGTATACACATATGTATAAGTATATATATATACAGATTTGTAGGTATAAGTATATACTATATTTCATGTATGTATATTGATTGATGGGCAACCCCATGTTCATCGCAACAGATGACGAGAAACAGATTGGGTTCGATTGATGGGGGCTGCTTCACTTTGTCACGGCCGGCCAATGCGCAGCTTCAGTTCAGTCAAGCTAAAGCAGCAGATTCTGAAAAGAACATCAAACTGCTCCCCGCAAGGAGCCGACCCAGCAAGTGTCCCAGCGATGCTCACAAGTTTTTCGAATTGTGCCCAGGTCCCCTCCCAAACAGTGTGGTTCATGGGCTTGAGTTGACCTTGGCGTTTCTTGTCTAGTATGTGGAAGTCTACGCTTGTGGTATTCTTCACCCACACTGACGGGTGCTACCAGAACCCCGCTCTTCTCGACCGAGCGTCGGCCTCGGGCTTGGGCTTGGGCCATACATCTTGCCGCTTGTGTCTATGACAACTGGCCCCCGCACTGTGAGAAACAGAATCGTCGGCTGCACTGCGGATCTTCATGCCGTATGAGGTGCCGGGGCTGACTTATGCTGATTCACCGTTGAGTAGCGCAGCCTGGAACCAAAATGCCATCTTCTGCTGTCGTGTGCGACCATGCCGGGCTATAACCCCGGATGCCACTGCAGGCTCTATACTATACTCTTTTTTTTGAACGCTCCTTCGACGCCAGAGTGCCAATAGAAAAACACATTGCCTTCAACGCACCAGCGCTTGGCAAAGCGCCATAGGCTCAGTTCCTTGCATGTCGCAGAACACGTGATGACTTGCCAAAAGTGATGTGCAAACCTTGGGGCCCCGACTTGGGGACGGAAAAAGGGGCTCTGCAGCAGCTCCTCCACCTGCGAGTGACTACCTTCGACTTGCTCAGCTCCATGCGTAGGTCGCTTGGCAGACGTAGGCACATGCGGCAAAAGCCAAGGTGACATCATGTGCCAGGTCGCAAATCACGGGATCCTGTGCAAAAACAGCCCCACACCGCTTGCTAAGGCCATGTCTTGAAAGAGATCCCAAGACAGCATCGACAGATGACTGGCGCTGTTCGTGGTCACTCGCTCATGCCTCAGTCTGAAAGCTGGCTTGGTTCAGCCCGTCAAACAATTGAGCAATGTGCTGAAACTTCAGTGGCAGCCCAAGAGCTCGTATATGACTCCATCGCTCAACGGGTACGCACAGCACGCACGTTGTCACATGGCGCGAAAGGATTTTCTGAGGCCCGGCTGACTGAGGATATCCAGGCCGTACAGAGAGTGGAGCTTGAAAATCCAGGCTATGGCAACCTCAAAATTCTGTTGCGAGTAGCAGCAAACAAAAGTGTCGTCACTCTGCAGTGCCGGTCCAAGCCCCACACACTGCGGAAACTGTCCACCACAGCCTTGACAGGTCTGCAGGGCAACTCGTGGCAGGCTTGCTGGAAATTGCCGGCAAGATCCAGTGCTCAAAGGAAGCCCCCTTCAAAAGTCTGAACCAAGCCGATCTACAGGTGACAAACCCTCGGATACTGACGTCTCTGGCTGATGCTAACAACCAGGCAGTAGGACCGCGTCTGATTAGTCTGATGGTTTTTCTCGCAGCATCCGTGCATTTCCGTTCCGAAATACCATAGGGCCTGGTGCTCCGACAGCGCAGCGAGTAAGTCGCCTGGCAGACCAGCACGTGTTAAGTGCTAACTCCCACAGGCTACAACAGACGGAACACTCAGGGCACCCGCACCTTCGCCAAGCAAGGCCAAAACACTATGAAGCTGAAGCCTCGCAGCTTCAACATGTGCACAAAGAGGTACATTGCCCTCTCCATCCCTCTCGTAGACAATTCACTCAGCCTTACCGTTTGGCCCGTGATGGCCCGTGTGAGGAGAGCGAAGAGCTGACTGAGTGGCAGTGAATGCGCTTGGGCCCCAGCTCCAGCAGCTCTGGAGAGATCTCGCCGCTGACGCAGAGCCCCTGTCAGGGTCACTCTGCCTTTCATTGAAGGTGGCTTCAGCCCCCGCCTCTCGGCGGGGTTCAGCCGGAGGCCATTCCTCCAGCCAGGCCACCAAGGCAACCTCTGCGCTGAGGGAGATGAACGAGTGAACGTGCGGAGAACAGCAATGTGCTCCTATCCGTGAGACTGAAGACCGCTCGAGCCCTAAACCCGGCCTGTGCTAAGTGGCTATGCACCTCGTAATTCAAGGTCGCCATAGGTCGCCAGAAGTCTGTAAAACCCTCAACCCCGACACTCTCCAACCCTAAAATCTCTCAATATCCTGGCCTCGAACTGCGACATCAGGTGCCGGAAAACTGGGCAGACCTGTGCAAACGTCGCAGAAGGACGCGATCTGCAGCAAGACAACAATGCTGGGAATGTGTTTCGGTAGGACGACTTGCTCCAAACCATGCCGATACGGCCGTAAGTCGTCAACCAACTGTAGAATTGACAAGGACTTCGCTGGACATGCATGTAGCAACACCATCAAGTCCTCGGGTTGCTCATCGATTGCGAGCTGCAACTTTGCACAGCATTTCGCCTGGCACCATCTTTTTCAACGGAATTTCGATCTACACTTCTTCGCCAGTCTCGGCTCCGCATTCTACACCTAATTGCAGCTCAGCCCTGCCTAACATGAACGTCAGTCACTTATGGCCGCAGCACAAGGAAGAAATGCAAGGGCATGCCTCCAACACGATCTCCTCAGCACCACGTGCAATCTGCAAGTCGGATTGAAAAAAGCTGCCTTCAAGACGAAAGAACTGAAGACATAACCGCTGGACTCAACATCCTCTTCGAATCCGACTGTGCATCTCTGGGTTCCCTGCTCCATCCTTGCCACCCGAATCTAAATACTTTTGAAGCCAGGCCTCTGAGCACAGGAAAACACCGTACTGCGGTGTCCATCACCAGGCCAGGCCTCCACCGTCGAATCTTCGTGTGGCCTCGAAGCACGGGTGAAAGCAGCTCGCGCACTTCACTTACTAGTTACGTCCCGACTTTCCCGACTTGCACTTTTCAGCTTCGGTTGGAAAAATACATGACCACGACCAGCCTCTGATCGAACAGCGAAGGCAGCTCCTGGGCGATGCGCAGACGCTCATGCTTTGCTGAAGCATGCGGAAGCCCTTCCACAACCTGAACTAGCAACTTGCGGACGAAGCTCAAACTCGACCACAGACTCGGCTTGAATCTTGGAAACGGGCCTCAACAGCTTGGATCTCGCAGCCACTCATTTCATGCGTGTAGTGTAGGGCTCGCAGCATTGCCAACATAAAGATGGACGGTTTCAACTGCAGTGCCCGAGTGCCGATCGCGACCAGATCCAATATCGCTGCATCGAACTCGACGGCCAGACGTTCACCTTGCACAAGTTATTCTGAGCCCCGTCAAGAAAAGGCATTTCGTGACCTCTGCAAATGCTCACGGACAAACAGACAATGTCACACAATCTGGCCTGTTCGCAAACCGGGGCCCGCTAGGACATGGAACGGTTGCGGCCTGCATGGACATACGGCACAATCAGCATCGTCCAACGGAGGTTGAAAGGACTGCAAGATCGAGTTGCTGCATGGCCTGAACTCACCGCCCATGGGGAAGAGCGTAAGCTCAATTTGCGTATTTATCCTTTCCTCCAAACTGGACTGGGGATTGGGTTCTTCGGTGTCGTGTGGGCTTTGTGCGCATGCTACAAGCTGGGTCCGGTATTATCATGATCAGATCATTCATGCCATTGTCAACCAGTTGTCCAAAGTCTAGCCAACGTCTGTTTCTTTCGTTTCACTGTATTGCAGAAACTCGACAGGGGGACCAGGAACCAAGCCGTAGCTCCCAAAATCTCGCTTGGGGATTGACTGGTCTTGTTGCACCGCTCACTTGAGCCTGACTAGCGAGGGCAACTTCGCAGGGAAACTACCTGACCCCGGGCCAATGCAAGACGTAACAGTACTGCCGAAGCAATGGACAACTCGTGCATGCTGCTTGTAGCACACTCTGTCATGTTTATGAATGTTGGTGTAAACAGCCGTATAGTCCTGAAGTAGCCAAACTTCACTTCAAGGAAAACTTACTTGCCAACACTGCCAAGCTAGAGACTGTTGATGCACCAATCAAAACGAAGCACGACTGGCTGCGATGCATCTTCCACCACCTTTTCTCGATGCTCTCTTTTGCATTATCCGATCCCTTGCTGGTCGCGTCATCAGCGCTGCACATAGCACCTTCGCGACTCAGCTTCTGTAAACGGTGGCATACGGTGTGGGCTTGCTGCCAAGGCAGGCAGTCCATTGCCGCATTAGGCGGTGCGGAGGCATCTGACGTCATGCGCTTCAGGTCTACTGGTGCTTTTCTCGCCACTGAGTGCCCTGGCTCGCAAACGTTTTCGAGATGACATCGGCAGGTCTCCTGCGACGGCAGCATCCCGAGCCGTCTGACCAACTGACTTGGCTGCCCGCTCAGCACGTCCAGAAAACAATAAGATGGAGAGATTCAAGTCAAGGGTACAGGAACTACGGGCAAAACACCGAGCTGCCAGAGCTTCACCCATAGTCAAGAAAGCTAGTACCGAAGCATCTGCCGACCAACCGAATCACGTGCACTTGCTGATGTTTGCCCACCTGTGGGGGCTCGCAGCAGGCGCCAAATGCTGGGTCTGCTCAGAGCCTGGCTGGACTGCGCATGACGGCTTGTGGCTCGATGAGCCAAGATATGCGAAGATCGTCATAGCGCTTTTCTCCTCTCCGTCGCTCGAACTTCTACGCGCATTCCGTATCTCGTCGAACGCATCCTTGATTTTCTGAAATGCTGCAGCGCACTCCTTAGCACAATCTGCACATGCCGTGAATGTGGTAAGCAGAGGAGCTTGGAATGCTGGTGTAACATGTAGATTCACCTATGGAACCCAGTAGATGCAATCGTGTCTCTGAACTCTCGTCCCCGAGTGCGTGCGCAAGCGCGGTCCAACGGCGTCGCAACTGACGAATGGAAACATCTGTAGGGACACCAAGCCTTGGCAACCAGGTCCCAACTGCATGTGAAGCCTTGGAGCCCCGCGGATGATCATGTCCAAGAGAGCCAAGTGGCACCTCGTGAGCCTCGCTGGCTTCCAAGATCCGCCGCGCGATTTGCTGTGGAGAGGCCTGGCAAGAAGCACAGAGAGTGCTCAGACCTGCATGTCACTCAGCCCAGCGGTGCTGAAGCAAAAATCCAAAGTCTCGAAAGTCTAGACTCTGGACAATGCCGGGACCCCGAGGTTTCAGCTCCCCTGAAACTGTTTCAACGATGGCTTGCCCCGACACCGCGAGCCTCTGCAGAAAGCTCCTCCGGAAGCTTGGGGCTCTTTGACGAGAACTGCCGACGGCCGAAGAGGTAGGTATCCTTGGCCAGAGCCGTGCAAACGTCGGGCGTCAGGAGCCCGGACGGACGCTCCTTTTCGTGGAAAAACTGTATATAGAACTCCGGTCGTGTAGTTTGTCCTTCTACCCCGGCTGGCATAACGCATCTTTATCAGATAAACTGGAGCTTCACCAAAAACACACTTCTTGCAACTTGCACCCACCTTCCGTGTCGAAACATCCATTCCAATTCCCGTGCAATGCCCTTCGCCCACCTGGTAGTGGCCCTCCACGAGCTCGACATGCAAGCACTCCTTGCCTCAAGGCTTCGGGTGCACCAGTCACGACAACAGTGCTGTTCACGACTGCTTTGGGGAGACGGGTGCAGTGACGGAACCTGGAAGACGACCCTGCTCGAATTCTCTGCAGACGCATAAAGTATTGACCAAATGCGTGCCTCAGCGCCGGACGCTCTGCCAACAGACCACGGAAAAGATTGCTCGACCACATGCGAAAGCGAGGTGCCAACGTGGCCTGTCGCTTGCATCAGTTCTGACAAAAGCTTTGCTGCATCGTCCCTTCAGGTCTGCCCGATCGAAGCTGATGTGATCCTAACATTGTCACATTATACAGGATTGCAAATATCAGATCCGAGCTTGTCTGCCTTTTACTGGCAACACGACAAGTAATTTGGCAACCTGATTACCTCTTATTTGTCCTCCGTTGGCATGCAGATCTCAAAGTCACATGGAGCCAAAATGAGCCACATGGCCGGGCAGCCTTGGCAGGCCCGTTCCAGACATTCTTGTTGTACTTGCCTCTTGCGCAGACCTGGAGAAACATCTGGTTCCCCAGGACACCAAGACCGCTGTGTTCTTGCTGGCCTCATTAGCTGCAAAGGTGTGGGTGCCAAGAGTCCAGCGAGTTTGGCTCTTCGCCTCGGAGCAAAAGAAGACTGCCTTTGTTGGTTAGCTTGTCCGTATGCCCAGGCACATACTGTAGCGGTGGAAGGCAGCAAGGCTTCCTGAGGATGCGGATTGAACTTAACATGTTCTGGCAGTTCGCAGCATGCACCAATCAGTGTTCGATTGCACGTCTCCGATGACGAGAATCAAAGCAAATGCGACACACTTGGGCCCGATGTTGAAGGTTTCCACAGCTCGGATGGCTAGGATACCTCAGCACCCCAGCAGCAGCCCAGACTTTCTGACCACCCGTACGCAGACGCCAGTCCATTTAACCAGAACCAGAGGCGAGCACCACACAAGTGGATGCCAAGCACCACTACCGGCCCGGGCGCTGGCTCCAAGATCCCTTGGATTTCCAAGCTTGAGGCATTGTGCCAGCTCTGCTGTTCGCTGACTCGACAGGTTCGCACGAAACGGGTCCGACACGCGCGAACACTGCCGCCTGTTGCAAGCCATGCCGCGGGAGAGAATTTGCGCTTGGGTGGATGGTAGTTTCAGATCAGATCTGCGCGTAACAAGCGGAACTGGCCAAGGAAGATTGTAAATGTGGTCCCAGTTCCTTGGGGCACTTCGGAGACTGCTGGAGCGAAGTGAAAGTGTGACTTCTAAGCACCGAAGACGCTTTGGGACGGTCAAGCAGCGACTGTTGCATCACAAGCTCTGAGAAATCCCTGGTCAACTGCAGCTTAACAGATATAAAACGTAGAGGTTGACTACAACCGGGACCAAGCGGCAGTCGGGTGCGATGTTTCTTGCTCTGTTGCGGCTCCGGGGCTCCACCTACAGGCGGAAGGACTGGGCTGATGCCGGCAGTGTACCCGTACCCCACCAGAAACTGCACAGATCTATACCGCCACTGCGGTGCGTGGCCAACGATTCCAATGAGAAACGAAGCGGTTGCTGAGGAACCCTTTCGAAGTCATTCAGCATTGATCCGAAATCGATCCATGGATATGCCAAGGCAGTTGCGGCCTTTGAGAGGCCAGGCTTGGTCCACAAGAACACAGCCCTCGGTGGAGCTGGAACGTCACTCACAGCTCGTAAGGAGGCGCGATGCTTCCTCTCGTGCCTGCATGACATTCCCTCCAACCCCAGCGCAAGGAGGGCTCTTGCAGTTGCAAAAAAGAGTGCCGAAAGCGGCTACCGCTGGATCACTTCCGTCCCTTCAATGTGCTACGCCGCTGCGCACTCATTTGCTGATCAGCAGCATGCACTCGTGCAGCTGGCAGCAGCTCCGCCAAGAACATGCCGAGAAACCCGAGGCCAGAGCACAAATCCTGGCACAAAGAGGTTCTGCCAGTGCTGCAAATATCAAGTGTTGGCCATTCGTTGACAAGAGTCCACGATGGTGATTGGCCCATCGGCTGGATCAAGCTCCTCATGTGCAAAGCTGCGAAAGGAGGAGAGCCGCAGGCTTGACGTCCAGTATCCAAGAGCGAGGTGCAGCCAGGCAGTCTTGAACGAATGCAATGGTGGGCACGGCCTCTCGAGCCTCCTTGCACCGGTCAAACTTCCCTTTCCTACTCAGTTCTGTTGGAATGAGCAGTTCCGGCAAAGCGTGACGCTGATGCAGCAAGGGAAAGCATGACTCATCGAGGGTCCCGGACTCCTTGATGAGCGTAGAGCAGTTGTCCCTCGCAAGGCGCCCCTTGGAACTTCACAAGAAACTCCAGTTTAGCTCCACAGAGGGTGTCCGCTGCTCTGGTGCCGTCAGTGGCTATGACTGGTGGCTATCACAACCGGGACCAGCGGCCCAGAGAGGAGGTGGAAAACGACTCCGCCAGGAGCAGGCAGCCTCCGAGTCCAAAGGGATTCGGCACATCCCAAAGCGTTCCTTCATCAAAAAATCACAAGCGTTGGCGGCTGCAAGAGCCACCCCGGCCTCTGCTACGCGTTGGCAAGTCTCTGGAAACCTTGGGGACGGAAGCCTACGATTCGGGAGTAGAGGAATTTTCCACAGTATCTCTCTTCGAGTCACCGTTCCCCGAGGGCACCATCGCAAAGCCGGCCCCGGAGCCACGTGTCGAAGTCCTCGGCTCAAATCAGCACCGATGCTTCCTCACTACTACTCTAATCCACTCATGTCAAAAGGCTGTCAAGGTCAAAAAAGTCTCTTCGCGCGGCTCGTGCTCTTCCTCCTCGCGACCCGGCAGCCTCCTAGGCGACACCGGCAATGAGCAATGTGTCTCAACCTCCGCACACAGAAAAGGAAAAGGCTTTCATGCAGACCCGGCTGCGAAACAATGCCCAGCTCGGCTAGGTAGTCCAGCTGCATTGTACCATCATCGCTCT